TATATATATATATATATATATATATACAAAAAACCACACACGTACCGATGGAGCATTTCATTTGTCAGGAGATATATGCGATTTTTTATATGACATGGTGTGACTGAGGTCCTCTGGCTTATCGGTCTCCTGACGAGGGACGATGCTTCACTTATAAATCACAAAAATGTCACAATACCGTGACTGGAACAATACACAAATAACCCGAACATAGAAGACAGGAGCTTACGATGACGTTTAGGTCCGACTTGGACCATTTACAAAGTCACACTAACAGAAACGAGAGAAGGCGGGAGTGTATATAGGCCAGCAGACAGGGACGGGACAAGAGAGGTAGTAGGAAAGGAAGAAGAGAAGTAGTGGTAGAGGTGGTAGTAGTAGTAGTAGCAGTGGTAGTAGTAGCAGTGGTAGTAGTAGTAGCAGCAGTGGATTCAGTCAAATGCTGAGAAAGAGGAACACTGCAAGGAAGTGTAATTACAGATCACATCACCAGCTAATGATGGATTTTCATCCCACATGGAAACAATGAAGAGTTCTTAGATAAAACACACACTGAAAATAAACTGAGCATTTCCAAAAATTGTAGGTTTTAGTAAGTACTTACTCGTGGAGCTGCATAAGCAAAGGTTTCTCTGCTTCTGCTGTCTGCTGCTACCAAGGCTGCCACTCCCAGAAGAATCAGAATCTGTAACATAGTGTTGATCCTGTACAAGGGTGCCTTGAAGACCTCATAATCCTAAGAAATGGAGTTTATTTACCTCTTCCTCTGATCTAATCCCATTACCTCCCATTTTTCCAGCCGCTAAATTTTCCCCTTGTAAGTTACCAATTTCATCAGTGGATATTTTAACAGAAATTTAACATAGAATTTTCAATATCTGTGCAATACTTGAGAATTAGTATTAATTTCCCAGTAAAATATTTTTATTAGACATACAAAATTCTAGACAAATGATCATAGTAAGTTATTATAATTCCAAATAAACATAATCCTAACCGAATATAACACAGCAAATGTAGTTACTGTCTTGACATATATAATTCTAGAACAATGTAATTCTAGCCAGGTATTATTTTAGCCACATTATTGATGTAGAAAAGAGTTTGTGATGATACACACTGAAAGGTTACCTTAATCCTTATTTGGGTTATTATTATTGGCTGGTGGTGAACAGATCACCCTCATCCTCAGAGCTTAAATTTTATTGACCAACCAACGAGCCTGAGCCTGGCCCATGGCCGGGCTCAGAGACTAGAGAAACTCTCGAAACTCTTCAAAGATATATATCAAAGGTAACCAGCTTTAATGGCCGTTATGTAACATAAAGACTTTAAACCCCATAGGTTTTAAACCCTGTTTAACCAATCACTCAGCCTTAATGACCCTCGTGTGATAGATAGGCTTCAAGCCTCATTAACCAACCCACCGGTCTTAATAACCCTCATTAACCAACCAACCAGTGTTAATGACCCACGGTAATAGCAAGACTTTAAACCCCATAACCAACCAACCAACCTTGGTTAGGTTAGGTAAAGTTCGTCAGGAAACAAGACAAGTGTTTCCTGACGCGGTCTTGGTCAGATGATGACCCGCCTTTGGAGCTTTTAGTCATCAGATTGATGCCTTCCGCTGTCTTACCGGTCCACCCCTTAAAAAAAGTATGGCCATTTATAACCATTGTTCATTATCTACTAACACCACCAACCTTAGTGCTCATGTTGAGAGGTGTTTGGGATACGACGAGGAACGAATGATGCTGTACCCCAGTTGCTGTAAGATATATACCAGCCGATCCTGACCACACCTCTCAACCAGGGACAAGTTTTTCTCACATATTTAATAATTATGCTGTAATGCATTAGCACAGAAGGATTTCGGCATGTTAGAAAGCTTCTAAAGACCTTTTGGGGGAATGTGGTTCTTCTAGTATATTGACATAAATATTACCGTTTCTTCCCCGGCCATTAAAAATATTCGCGGCTTGTTTATCAGTCGTCTAAATTTTTTTTTCTACCCAGATGGAGTTACTTGTCAATAAGGAATTTATGAACTGATAAATTCCCTAGTGGGCGAAACATCTCTAATTCAAAGAAGTGTCATGTATCGCGCTGATATATAGCTTCACTCATTACGCTAGAGAATCTTATAGTGCATTTATGTAGTGATTGATACAACTGTAGATCTGTTATATATATATATATATATATATATATATATATATATATATATATATATATATATATATATTATATATATATATATATATATATTGTAACCACGAACAAGTGGTATTGATCAGTAACAACACTGCGACTAGCCAAGGACTCGAACCCATGTTGTTTTGGTCCCCCTCATGGTGAGCGAATACCACATGACGCTCTAACCCCCAGGACCACCAAATCCTACAAGAATCACGCACCCAGCAGAGCTAGGTGTTTTACTGTGATCCGAGGACATATGTATGTCCTCGGATTGCGTAGGATTGCGTGGTTCTGTGGGTTAGAGCATCATGTGTTTTTCGCTCACCATGAGGCGGGCCAAATCAGCATGGGTTCGAGTCCTTGACTAGTAGCAGTGTTGTTTCTGATGAATACCACTCTTTCGTGGTTACAATTATATATATATATATATATATATATATATATATATATATATATATATATATATATATATATATATATATATATATATATATGTGTATATATGTATATATATTGTGTAGCTTTCGTTGACGGGTAAGCTTCTAAAGAGTTTGAGATTTGAGAAATCTCATATCAACAAAATGGGTCCATATTTGATCCAAGGAAGAGGAGAGCCGCTCTGGAGCCACTCTCCTCTTCCTCGGCGCACTTCCTTGGTACTCCTTTGGCACTGGTGAAGGGCTAACGAGCCCTTCACCAGTGCCAAGGCAGTTACGTCACTTCCAGATAGTACCTGCCAGTCTTACTGTCTCTCTCCGTCTTGTGACTCGCTACTTCAACTCAGACAATTTTTCTCTCAGCTGTATCAATACATGTATATTTTTTAAGAGCCTTGAAGGTTATATTAAGACACGACAGTATGTTAATCGGTTATTAGATTCGTTCCAAAGTATTATTTTGTATTTTGGTGCTCAGTTTGCTGTCTTATTAAGCTCCTCTATATAAGTGAATTTATTTTCATAAGAGATTGAAAGAATTTATCCAGAGTTTAACAGTATGTGCGATAAAGGCCTTTTTCAGTGGGATTTAATTATGGTCGGACATTTTTGAAACGCATTTAAAAATCGATTTATTTAAACCTTTTTTGTAAAAAAATGTTGCAGGTATGCAAAATAGATATGTAAGATAGATATATGTACAACACTTGGGTAACTTTATTGAGAAAGCAATATGGTGAGAGAAACGTTTCAGGGGAGGTTACGTAATGCTGACGAGGGGGGTTCTTGATCTAAGGAATTGGATTCATATCCTCCCGCCTCCCTTCTCCTTTGATCGAACCTCCTTGCTCTATTCCCCAAGATGCTGGCCGATCCCTGTTGGTTAAGCGCTTCCCCTAGGAATGTAACTGAAGTGAGTGTTGACTGAGGTGGGTGTGGCAGCGCAGGCATCGTGCAGGGCGAGATTACAGCCCTTCATTCTGAAGCTGTGTAATCAGACAACTTTCGGGTCATGCAACTCTCCGTCAGGAAGGTCAGTCCTCCATCAGGAAGGTGTCGTAAGCTTCACAGGAGCTGCGATATTATTTGACCCACAATATCTAATTGATGGGTCACAGACCTGGCTGCTGGGGCGTTGACCCCCCCGGCGGTCTCCTCGTAGCTGGGCTTTCTCCAGCAGGTGGTAATCAAATAGTTGTCGGAAGAAATGTAAAAGGAGAGGTTTTAAGTTGTAGGGGCTTGAGCATCCAGTAGGCATTTGTGAGGGTGCTCGATCACAGTGACTGCTGGAGTGTAAGCAAAGTAACATTTATAGAGGGGTTTCAGGGGCACTGGTTAACCGGGTTTGAGTCCTGGAGGTAGGAAGTACAGTACCTGCACTCCGAAGGATGGGTAGTGATGTTACAGTTCTGAAGGTGGGAAGTACAGTACCTGCACTCTGAAGGATGGGTTGTGTTACAGTTCTGACGGTGGGAAGTACAGTACCTGCACTCTGAAAGATTCGTGGGAATGTTGTAGTTCGGAGGACCATCTGAAATATAGTTTGTGTTCACTTTTGGCAAGACAGCATCTGCATAAACGAAGGTAAAAAAATTATTCTGGCGCTTGTGTTAGTTATAGGCTGAGCGGCTTAGTGGAGCTAGTACCCATATTTGAGGCTTTGTCATAAGACACTGATCATAATGCTCTGACAAGAACTTTGGCCAGTAGATCCACATCACCGGAACACTACCTACCTAAAATCAGTTTACAGATCGTCTCAGTAACTGAGGACTGGTAGGCCAGCGAAAGGCCTTGGATAATTGACCAAAAGCGTCCGTGAGCTGGTCATCATATTACTAACATTAGCGTAAGTATACATTTAACCTTTTATCGTAACGAACATAAAAATAAGTGAAGAGGATACTTCGGAAGATCCAGCCAGGAAAACTCGGAGAGGTTCGCATTTGGAAAGATTTGGTTTAGATTTTTGTATAGGTTTGGATTTAGTTCTTTCCAATAAACGTAATGATGTGGCTTTTTTGGGTAACGATGACAGCACCTCTATTATATTTAAAAGACACTCCTGATTTCTCATATTCTGACGAAGTGTAGTCCTACGTATCGGGCAGACAAAAAATGATGAAGATTCTCTCTGAGACGGTCACTGTGTCACCAGAGTTCGTATTGAGTAACACTGAGGATCCAGTTCTCTTGGCCCAGGATCAAGGAATGTAATTACTTTCTGAATGCATTCCAGGTACTTGCTCGACCAGATGGCTGAGTTCTGCATCAGCAAGCCAGTGGCAGCTGCTGCCTAGTTCCCTCCAGAGTCAACAACAATACCAGCAAGCCAGCGGTCGTTGCTACCTCGTTCCCTCCAGAGTCAACAACAACACCAGCAAGCCAGCGGTCGTTGCTACCTCGTTCCCTCCAGAGTCAACAACAACACCAGCAAGCCAGCGGTCGTTGCTACCTCGTTCCCTCCAGAGTCAACAACAACACCAGCAAGCCAGCGGTCGTTGTTACCTCGTTCCCTCCAGAGTCAACAACAACACCAGCAAGCCAGCAGTCGTTGCTGCCTCGTTCCCTCCGGAGTCAACAACAATACCAGCAAGCCAGCGGTCGTTGCTGCCTCGTTCCCTCCACAGACAACGACAATACCAGTAATATACAAATTACAGGAGAGAGAGAAGCTTATGACAACATTTCTGTCCGACTTGGACCATTTACAAGAGCACCGGAATGTCATCATAACCTCCTCTCTCCCATGTGCTCGTTATTTGTGTTATTCCAGCCACAGTATTGTGCCTTTTTTTTGTATAAGCACCAGTAAGACGGCGCTGGTCTCCACAAAACCCTCAAGTAAAAAAATAATTTACATTACAGTTTCACCGATTCACTGACAGCAAAAGGGAACAAGAGCTACGCTGTGATTCGTGTTGAGGTGGAGCGAAGAACTCTGTTAAAACCTACACTCCAGGGATGCGGATGGTAGCTGATGCTAACATTACTTAAGTCCAGCCTGTATTCAGTCTTAGCTTCACATTTTGGAGTTTGTAGCGTGGAGTGTTTGTAACCTGAATACCCGGGTTCGAGTCTCCACATGCCCTTTGTGTAAAATGTTGACAGG